TGGTGGGGCTCACACGAATAGGGTAAGGGTATAACACGAATGGGGTGGGGTATATCTGAATAGATTTTGGCTTATAACATGAATGGGGTGGGGTATCATACAAATGGGTTGGGGGCATGGGCGCCCGCAGAAAACTTTCTAAGGGGGGGGGGCAAAAAAATCGATTAACTTTCCAAGGAGGGGAAACATTTTTTTAGTAATGTTTTAATAAAGTTTTAATTTACTGTAGCGTATTTGTATGGTGAACGAACGGACAGGACATCAGCTTAGTTACTTTCTCTTTATTTTCTCTTTACTTTAATACATTTTTTGTCTATTTTTATCTAAATTTTTTTTATCCCATCAATCCAGGGGGGGGGGGGGGCAAGTGCCCTTGGCCCTTCATAATCCCACCAGGAACGTGATCCCGCTGAGGAACGGGATCAAACCGGGAAACGTGTTCTCAACGGGAACGGGATCCCACCTGATAACGGGATCCCACCAGGGAATGGATCCCAACCGGGGAACAGCAGGATTCCATCTGCTAACAGGATCCCACTAAAGAAAAGAACGGGATTCCATGGGTAACGGGGCTCCATCGGGGATCAGGATCTCATTGGTGAACAAAATGTTTACAAAAGTTATTATAAAAGTGTTTTTATTGGAGACAATTTAAAAAAATTCAATATTGTTTTAGCACCTTGTTTTTGGTTTTTTTAAAGGTAGGCTACTTTGATTACGATATTAGGGGCCGTCCATAAAGTACGTCACGCTATTTTTGACCACTATTAAACAGTATTAAAATATAAAATTTCCACTTAAAAGAACGATCATATTATTAAAATGACTTTAATAGTAGAAGAGTTAATTGTCGACAGCTGTCACAGTTATTCATTGAAGCAGTAACTCAATCTAGATTGAATTTGAAAACAAAAATTGCAAAAATTAGACTAGACAATTATATAATACACATCATTTATCTGCTGCTTTTTCATTTACAATAGGTGAGGTCAAGTTTTAGATAATCTTCCGATTATGCAATCTTTTTACACAGGATTAGAAGTAGATTTGCGCAACTTGACCTTACCCAGTGATTAAATAATAAAAAGGACAGTGACATAATTATGCAGCGGACATCATAGAAATAATAATACTTCAGGCATGACGAAAGCAAGGCCTCGCAACAGCATACTAGCGCCCCTAGCGAGAGGAATTGTAAACAACACATCCAGGAGATATGCATTTCATGCTATTTTGAAAATTATTTTAAAGCTATTAAATTCTATTAAAAAAATAAATTAGAAATGAAATTTTAAAAAAATAAATGTGTGACGTCACACAAAGCCTGACCCCCTTCCCCCTGTCACAATCTGTCACACTTTCTTACACCCCTCCCCCTCCCCCTTTCTGGAGCGTGACGTACTTTATGGACGGCCCCTTAGCTAAAACGCTGTAGAAGGTTTTTTCCCGAATGCAATCCCATTATATTGGCTATTTAAAAAAATTAATGGATTTGTATAAACACAACCAGGTAAAGGGAGCCTTCAACTAGCATCTCTACTGTTACTCTCCGATTAAGTGTCGAGAATGCTGAAAATCTAAGTTCATTTACGCGCGAAAAATTCTTCATCTTTAATTTATTTTTAAAAAATACCATTACGCCCACTTTTGCACAGAGAGTTATCGGCTCTTTTGATTATGAAAAAAAAAAAATGTTTAATTGGAAAATATAGTCGCCGCCCCCTCCCCCCCCCCC